TTCTCATCACATTAAGCCCTGCAATAGCACCGGCGTCCTTCGTAGCCTGTCTCTGAGAATCATTGAAATATGCAGGAACGGTAACCACAGCGTTTTTCACCGTTTGACCCAAATATGCCTCTGCGACTTCTTTCATTTTCGTCAACACCATTGAAGAAATCTCTTCAGCGGCAAACTGTTTCTCCTCTCCTTTGTATTGAACCACGATCATAGGCTTATCAGCGGGACCAGAGACAACCTTAAACGGCCAGTGCTTCATATCGCTTTGAACGGAAGGGTCGGAGAATCGTCGGCCGATGAGTCGCTTGGCGTCGAAAACAGTGTTCTGTGGGTTCATGGCGACTTGGTTCTTGGCAGCGTCCCCAATGAGACGCTCTGTATCAGTAAAAGCAACATAAGAAGGAGTGGTCCTGTTACCTTGATCATTAGCTATGATCTCAACACGGTCGTTCTGCCAAACACCCACGCAACTGTAGGTGGTGCCGAGGTCAATGCCAACGGCCTTTCCTTCTGGCTTGGCCACCATTGATGCAAGAAAGCTGGGTTCGGACCAAAGGACGATAGAAGTTGGAGATTATGAGAAGAGAAGAAAAAACAAGGATTGAAGTTGACGGTATGTAAGATGCTTGTGATTGGGGATAGACACCGACTTCTTGGAATCAGTTGTGATTGGCACAGGGGAAGCGGAGGGAAGAAAATATATAGGAGGAAAGAAAACGGGGAAGAAAATTCGAGAGACTAGTAGAAGCGACGGCTTTGAAGAGAAGATCTTTAAAACTGGAATTAGGTCCAACTAGATTGTTCTGGAGAGAAACGGCTACCGACCAACAAGTTTACTTGTGTCCCCTCCGCGCTCCGTTTTCGTATTTTTTTTCCATATTCAATTTTATTTGTTGATCTAATTAATAATCATAATATAAATATATGTTGTCTTTCCTAAAATATCCTTACTAATCAAATGTATTGGTTAAAATTACTATTATTATAAGGACTACTTTGGAAAAAAATATAAATATGAGAGACAGTAAATTGCAGTCTTATACTTAGGACCAAAATAAAAGTCAAACAAGATCTCATATTAAGAATCGAAGGTAGTATTATTTATGACAAAATAAGAATAAACGAGGAGTTTTGCCTCGACTTATATAAAATATGCTTATAAATAATTCTAAAGTTCATTTGGAATAACTTATAAATATTTTTTTAATTGTTATTTACGAAATTCAAAAAAAAAAAGCAAAAAATTTTGCCTCGACTCATGTAAAATATGTTTATAAATAATTTTAACTGTGATTCCAAATGGCACCTAGCATAGTGGAGAGAGATATCCAATTTTCCCAAAATGAGGAGGTAAATGTGTTTTTTTTTTTTTTTGGACTCAGAGGAGGTAAATGTGTTTAAAACCAATCCAGCGGATGGATTGATTTGGCTGGTTTCCCACAGCACATTAGGAGCGTTTTTAAGCCTTCGTTTTGCTTTCGATCCGCTTCCTCTTGACTTATCATCTTTACCGTAGTTCAAATAATTGAGATTTAATATATTATAATAATATCAATATAATGTTGACTAATAAAAGAGAGAATTCTAGTCAAATCCATCAGAGGTATCTAAATCCAAATCCAGACATGTATTTCTAATAGATTCTTAATCAGGAACAAGTTTGTACCTGCTTAATTACAAATAAAGTGTATTATTTTTTCCCTCCCAAGTGATTTATCATCTCTTATTATTAATATTTAGACAAAAAAAAACATATGAAAAATTTTCATTGTTTGAATTTTTGTGCATATAACAAAAACCTTTAAAATATTTTAATAAAGCATTTTAAATTATAATATAAATAGTATTTAAATGAATATGGTTTATTTTCAGGTTGTAAATATTTATTTTAAGAATTTAAAATATTTTAATTATAATAAATATTTAATATTAAATTGCTATATTTTACGTTTTCAGTTGAATCCAACATTGCTAATAAACAAAACTAATGTAGATGATCAGAAATGAAAATAAAAATTTATTTAAATGCTACTTATATTTCTAATTTAACATTTTTTATTAAAATGTTTTTAATAGTTTTAGTTATATATGCAAATTTTAAATACTGTAAAATCATTTTTATGTTTTATCCCAAAAAATAATCATAAAAGATAATCAATTTTTCCTTTTAATTAAAGAGGGTCATTCTAGTTATTTAATAATATTAAAAAAAACTCTGATTAGGCCTCACAGTCTTATTAAAAAAATTTTAAAAGTGTAAACCTCAATTTAAAATTTATATATTTCAGCTGGATTTATTTGGATACTCCCAACCAAAATACATATAATTAAATAAAAAATATTTACATCAAATTCTTTATATTTATTATTTCAAGTTAAATAATGTGAAATACAAAAGATAAACAGTTAAAAAAATTATAAGATATTTTAATAAAAATCTATAAAGTGATGTTTTATATTAATTTCCAACAGATTATATATATTTATATATCTAATTTCATCTCTCAAATTTATAATCTTTCCACTCAAAGTATCTTTATTGATTGCACATATTATTATTAAGGAGGCTTCCAATCAAATGATAGTTCCAACCCACATAATAAAGCGTGTAGTTCACATATAACTAACTAAAATAATTTTATTAATATTTACAAATTAATTATTTAGATTTTATACTCACTCCATTTCAAAACATAAATATCATTTAATCAATTTAAAATTTTCAAAAATCTGTTTAAATTAGTTTAGAACAATAAATATATAATGCATATATTTTTTCCCTCAATATACCCTTATTAATGAAGAGAATAATTATAAAAAAAAGAAAAGAGAATGGGTGGCACAAGTGATGATACAGAGTGTTAGAGGTAAAATTGGAAAAAAAAAATCTAATTACATGATTAGATAAAAATTAAATATATTTTACAAGAAAATCAAATCTCTCTAACAAAATTACATTTTGAACCAGAGGCAATATTGAAGTCTGAAGATAGTACCTCCTTCATCTTTTTTTTCAGTGAAAAAACACCGAACCAAACTAGCCGGTTCAACCAAAAAATCGGTAACCATTGGTCCAATTTGATTTAAGTAATGAACCAGGCAAAAACTGAACCAGCATCACCTTGATCAAACTGGTGTAAACCGGTGCAAACCAGTGTAAACTGATGATGAATCGATTTGAATTATTATTTTGCTATTAATTCTATTTTTTCTCATTCAACTCCTAATATTTCAATTACCATATATTTGAATGAATTTTAATGATGATTTTGCTATTATTGATTATTAATTTTAGTTATTGAGAAATCAAAAAGATCAAAATTCTCAATGTCATTATTTTGTCAATGTTACAATCAAATTATTGCTGCATTTCTTTATATTTTGTTACTAGTGATTAGTAATGTTGTTATATTTTGTTATTTCAATTAAATTCTACTTAATGTGATTGGTTTTGATTCTAGTTTGATCCCAATCTGAACTCTTAAACCATCACCTCAACCAATTTAGTATCTGGTAACAACTATCATTCTTTCCTTATCCCTAAATATAAGTAATATTTGTAAGTTGCCTTAAATTTTTATAGCAGATTTTCTATTTTGTTCCCTATTAAAGACTTGTTTTGATAGCTAATATATTTTTTTTTTGTTTCACAAAACATCATTTCTTAGATAATAAATGTTTTAGAATATTTTAATATAATCTCTCTCCATCACATGTTCTATCTTTATCATAATTTTTTTATTATAATAATTTTTTATTCTCTTTTTTTTATCTTCTCTCCCGTAAATAAGAGTATTAAAAAAATTTTATTTTTCATGTATTTATTGCTTTTAACTAACTTTAGTTCACAACAATTAAGAAAATTTAGTCAAAAGCAGTTTATATCGTTAAAATAGCAAAAGCATTATTACTACTTCTCAGTATCACCTGCAATTACAATCAACCCATCTTTGGTTACCCTTAATTCTTTTTCCTAGATAATGTCTCCACAATACTTATTAGTGAGGGTATTTGCGGGGGTAAAAATTTAATACCATTGACTTTCTGCGACTTGTATTTTAGCCGATACCATATATCATAAACCTTTCATAAGGCTCCTTTAAAGCTATAGAATCTCTTTATCAGCAAAATTTGATGTTCAATGGGTCAGTATAGATGTTAGTTTCCCTATCCGCTTGTTTATATGTAATATAACAAACCCGCTTGAAGAGGCTTTTGATATCATACAGTGTTGAACATTAGGAAGCCTAAGATGATATCTCTTAGAATCCGTGCATAATTTATAAAGCTTTTTAAAAGTAATTTTAATATATAAGAAAATTTTTATCTCAACTCATAAATTAGCTTGAAAAAACAAAACAATAAATATGTATAATTTAAAAATATTTAATCAACTAGGTCGTCTATGAAGTTGAGGTTATAAAATTCACCCTCTAATTGTATTGTCAAACCCAACCAATCTAAAAGCAAAAATCCTGTTTGAACCTGATGACCCTCAAACCCAGATTAATGAAGATCGAAAAATAAAGGGCATCAAGCCAAATGATCCATTATCCTTGTCAATGGAATATAATAAAATTACACACCCAAAAAAAAAAACAGAGAAAGAATATAACGAAAAGCCCAGAATCGTACTGGTAGGCTGAACATGGAGAAATTACAATCAAATTCTACAAAAAAAACATAATTATCAAAAAAATCTCAACAATAACCTCAACAGTCTTATAATAAGATTTGAAAATGACAACATTTAGGATTTATCTTTTAATTTTTTTTTTTGCTGGGGACCTTACTATAATTCTCCCGCTGAATGTCGTTACTTTACTTAATACCGCAAGGAAGAGGGAAAAAAGTAATAAATCATGTGATGTACCATTCATTTTTCTTATTGCTTGTTTTACGGGTTTGTCTGCCAATCAAGGTAAGAAAATTGACCAAGTATGTCCCGAATATTAGCCAATAGCTAGAAACATCATGAGCCTCATGCAAGTCCAAGCAAAACATCTTGCCAATATGTACTATAACATTCAAATGACACAATATTCGAAAACTAAAATTATACGGGAAACATTAGATGCAGTTATTGAGTATTCTTTCAATAACTTGTCAGAATCTGACCCAAATATACCCATGCGCAGCACAAGACACTACCAGTTTAAAATCCAGTGACAGATTTTATGAGAGGAAAATCAATTGAGTAGCACTCCCTTGAACATTTAATCCACTTCTTCAATCTTAGGCCCTGCACCTGAACCACCAGAGGATGATTTGCTGTGGCCACTGTTAGGCATGCTTGCACCACCGTCCATGGGCACATCACCACCGCCACCTTGATACATCTTTGCTATAATTGGGTTGCATAAGCCTTCTAATTCTTTCAGTTTATCCTCAAGTTCATCCACCTCTGCCAGTTGGTTCCTGTCAAGCCACTCAATAGCTTCATCAATTGCCTTCTCAATCTTCTGCTTGTCTGCTGGATCCAATTTTCCTGCAAATTTTTCATCCTTGATAGTGTTCCTCATGTTGTAGGCGTAGTTCTCCAGAGAGTTCTTGGCTTCCACCCTCTTCTTCACCTCCTCATCCTCGGCTTTGTACTTCTCTGCCTCCTGCACCATTCTCTCAATTTCTTCTTTGCTCAATCTTCCTTTGTCATTAGTGATTGTGATCTTGTTCTTCACCCCAGCCGTTTTATCCTCTGCTGACACATTCAGTATGCCATTTGCATCGATATCAAAGCACACATTGATCTGAGGAACTCCTCTTGGTGCTGGAGGGATCCCTGTGAGCTCAAATTTGCCGAGCAAGTTGTTGTCCTTAGTTCTTGCCCTTTCACCTTCATACACCTGAATTAGAACTCCAGGCTGATTATCAGAATATGTAGAGAAAATTTGCTCCTTCTTTGTGGGAATTGTTGTGTTTCTCGGGATCAACACTGTCATCACACCACCTGCAGTTTCAATGCCAAGGCTCAGAGGAGTGACATCGAGCAGAAGCAAGTCTTGAACCTTCTGATTCCCTTCACCAGTCAGAATTGCAGCTTGAACAGCGGCACCATAAGCCACAGCTTCATCTGGATTTATGCTCTTACACAGCTCTTTACCATTGAAGAAATCTTGCAGAAGCTGCTGTACTTTGGGAATCCTCGTAGAACCTCCAACAAGAACAACCTCATGAACTCTGCTCTTGTCAATTTTAGAGTCCCTTAGGCACTTCTCCACAGGCTCCATGCATTTTCTAAACAAGTCCATGTTGAGTTCCTCAAATCTAGCTCTAGTAATTGTAGAGTAAAAATCAATACCTTCGTAGAGGGAATCGATCTCAATTGTCGTCTGCGTCGTTGAAGACAGAGTCCTCTTTGCCCTCTCACAAGCAGTCCTCAGTCTTCTTAGAGACCTTGCATTGGTACTGATATCCTTCTTGTGCTTCCTCTTAAACTCTTGGACGAAGTGATTCACAAGCCTATTATCAAAATCTTCACCTCCTAAATGAGTATCACCAGCAGTGGCCTTCACCTCGAAGATTCCCTCTTCAATTGTGAGGAGCGAAACATCAAAAGTTCCACCTCCAAGATCAAAAATGAGAACATTCTGTTCACCAGACCTCGAACCTTTCTTGTCCAAACCATATGCGATAGCAGCAGCCGTTGGCTCATTGATGATTCTCATCACATTAAGCCCAGCAATAGCCCCTGCGTCTTTCGTAGCCTGTCTCTGAGAATCATTGAAATATGCAGGGACAGTAACCACGGCGTTCTTTATCGTTTGACCCAAATAAGCCTCAGCTACTTCCTTCATTTTAGTCAAAACCATGGAAGAAATTTCTTCGGCCGCAAACTGTTTCTCCTCGCCTTTGTATTGAACAACGATCATTGGCTTGTCGCCTGGACCTGACACAACTTTGAACGGCCAGTGCTTCATATCGCTCTGAACAGAAGGATCGGAGAATCGCCGACCGATGAGTCGCTTGGCGTCAAAGACGGTGTTCTGGGGATTCATAGCAACTTGATTCTTGGCAGCATCTCCGATAAGACGTTCCGTATCCGTGAAAGCAACATAAGAAGGAGTGGTTCTGTTGCCTTGATCATTGGCTATGATCTCAACCCGATCATTCTGCCATACACCCACACAGCTGTAGGTGGTGCCAAGATCAATGCCAATAGCCTTTCCCTCGGTCTTGGAAGCCATTGGAAGAAAACAAAGCTCGGATAAACGAGGAAGTAATAGTAAAATGTGGGGTTTGTGATTAATGAAGAAGCGGAGAGGAACGAGGTACGAAGCAAAGGATTGTAGCAACGAGTAGAAACTGAGGATTCTCAGGATCAACTTTGATGAGTGGAGAAGAAACAGAGGGGAAAATATATACGAAGAAGAGAAGAGTGAGGAAATTTCGAGAGGTTAGTAGAAGAAAGGGCTCCGAAGGTAGATGTTCCAAAACTTGAAGGAGGACCCACCAGAGAGTTCTGGAGAGGTAGCCGACGCTCAACTGATTCAGATTCTTCCTAAGCCGTTATATGAACGTTTATAGTTTTCTTCGATGAGAAGAAAAGTTAGGAGGAAAAAAAAAAAAGTTATATGAACGTTTATAGTTTACTTAAATGAGAAGAAAAGTTGGAAGAAAAATAAAAATTAAAAAAAAAATATTATCATCTATCTTGCTATAATAGAGAAGAAAAAATAGGGAAAAAATAGGCAATTATCAAAATAATTAAAATATTCTTATCAAAATATATCATATTTAAAATTAAATCAAATTAAATATTGCAATAGAAACATTATACTAACATTAGCGTCATCAAATAATTTAAAATTAAGCTATTTGGTTTATATATATTTTCACATTATTACATTTTAAAACCAAATTATTTAATAAAAATGTTTTAAGATAAAAATAAAAAGTGAATAATTTTTTAAATATAATAAAGGAAAATAAATATAGATAGGAAGAAAAACAATCACAAAAATTTTACTTTTCTTCCCAAATCTTTCCATATATATTAAGAGAAAATTTGGAGAGAAAATAAGGTATATGATTCACTTTATTTTCTTCCCTATTTTTTCTTCCTTCCATATTTTTTCTCCTATCCAAGTAAGGAAAAACTCATTTTTTATCATGTTTTCTTCTCTAGTTTTTTTTCCTCCCTAATTTTCTCTCAATCCAAGTAAGGGTTTAAGTTTGTCTATGAATAAAATAATTTTAATTTTATATTTAACACAATTTTTTATCCTTTAAGTTTGTACTCATTTTAATTTTGATTTCTCAAGTTTCAAACTACACTTTTTAATTCCTCAAGAGACAAAATATTGTAAGTATTTATTAAATTATAGGACAAATATTTTATATGAAAACAAATTTAAGAGATCAAAACTAAAATTCTTCAGTATTAGATAGAGTAGAGTGAAAGTAACTTGAATAAAAAAATACAAAAAATCAAAATCGAAGATAAATTAAATTAAAGGATTAAAGGAATTAAATTGAAATCAAACGAATTTAAGGATCGTTTTAACGCGACAAATCATATTGGACCGAGCCCAATAAATTCTAAATGGCGATCGGCGCGAAGGAAGGATCTAGAGAGCCCATGTATTCAAAACTAGGAACATCTAAAGCCTAAAAGTCACCCCATGGCTTTGCAAACTTTGAAGACCGTGAGTCAACCAAACGGAGGAGAAGTGAACACGTGGAGCAGAACTGTTAAACGTGGAGAAAATCTGGAGCACAGCAAATCTTTGAAAGGCTTATAATTTTACTGGTCAAAATTACAAATTTTCAATTTCTACTCAAACGACTGCAGCTTTTTTTTTCCCAAAAAAAAGGCTAAAGTGTGTGTGTATATATATATGCTTTTATATATTTGCATCAAGTTTTTCTAGTCTCTTAAATTTATAAAGTATATTTTTAATTATTTAATCTTAGCACTATTAGTTTCATCCAATAAAAAATGCTAACCCATCAAACTTAAGTGATGAGTAGGTGATCACTATAGCAAATTAACTTCCATTTACTTTCAAAAAATTCTGAAATTTTATTACACCTCTTATATTTCTGGGGTGAAAGACATTGATGCCCTTGCTATAAGTTTTTTTCAAATGTTGGCAGAAAAACTTTTTGAAAAAACAAGATCAACTGTTGTTGGAGCTCCGGCCACCAACATTTGGCCGCTTGGAGAATATATTTGCAAAGATGGGTGAGAGGTTTGGAGCCATGATTTCTTAACACACCATTAAAAAAAAAAATTATGACAAGTAAGCCATCAAATCTAATTAATTATATAATGCAAAGAAAGAAAAATATATTTCCACTTGTCCTTAATATAAGAGTTAGTTGATTAATTTGAATAAATTAAGAAAATTAGTTAAGTTAGTTATTTATAATAACTAAGTGTTGTCTTTTTTAAAATATCTTTGCTAATCAAATATATTGGTTAGAACTATCATTATTATAAGGACCATCTTAAGAAAAAAATAAATAAATATAAGAGACAAAGTAAATTGGATTTTTATATTTAGGAGCAAAATAAAAGTAAACAAACTCTTATATTAAGAACTGGGGTAATATGTAACAAAAGAAAATGATGAAAGAGTATAAAACTATAATATAAGTAAGCAAGTCAAATAAAAAAAATAGCAATCAAAATTAAGCAATTAGCATTACAAGGAACAAAAAATCGGATTGAATACTAAACCAGTTGAGGTAGTGATTCAAAAGTTAATGGATCAGATCGGGGTCAAATCGGTCATATTAAAATAATAACATTTAATTAAAAATAACAAAATATAACAATATTAATAATCACTAATAACAAAATATAAGGAAATACAACAATAATTTGATTGTAATAATAAAAAAAATACAATAACATTGAGAATTTTGATTTTTATGATTCCTCAATAACTAAAATTAATAATCATTAATACCAAAATCAATTCATTTAAATATATAACGGCTAAAACATTAGGAGTTGGATAAGAAAAAAATATGACCAATAGCGAAATAATAATCCAAACCGGTTTACACCGATTTTTGCCGGTTCACACTGGTTTGATACCGATTCAGTTTCTGACTGATTTATTGTTTAAATCAAACTGAACTACTGCCCAGTTCATTGGTTTTCTGATTAAACTGACCAATTCTGTCTGAATTTTTTCTCCACTGATTAACAAAAACAAAACACAACGTAGTTAACCTGGAAAATAGAAAGAGGCCCAAGGCGTAGTGTTCCAGCAATTGGCAAAATGCTATGGGGAATGGGTGGCGAATGGCGTGAGAGAAGTCACATTTGATGAATGGCATAAGGGTTCAGATGAGACGCGGGAGGGACGCGCACCCCAATAACTCCATATGGCTCACACTCAAAATGCGTGTCACCTTTGCGTTCCCAATGCCCAGTCGCATATTTCTTCCATGCTCGTACTATGCCAGTTCTCCACTTCACTACCCCAGTTGACTAGAAAGTTACTCCCTCCGTTTCTTATTATAAGAGACATTTGATGTTTATGGCATGTTTCTATATATAAGAGATACTTAAAAGTTGTCTCTACTTTTTGTGTTGATTTCCTATTTTATTCATATTTATTGTCTCCAACTCACACTCTCTCCTTCTCACTTCTCTTTCTTTTAATAATTTAATTGTTCTCTCTCATGCTCTCTCTCCTTATTAATGAGGGCATTTTTGGAAAAAAAAATTATACTTTTTATACATTGATTGTTCTTAACTAATTTTAACTGTTTTTTTTATCAACGTAATTCGGTTATTCGTTTCTTATAATAAGGAACGGAGGGAGTATTTGTCATTTAAAATTATACTACTTTTTTTTGTGTTCCCAACCCATTTAAAATTATTCCACCCTCGCTCCTAGACACGAAGACTTACTTCACATTTGAAATTGCACAGAAAAATTCTATTGAAAAAAAAAAACGAAAACAACTCCAATCTTATTTATCAAAGAATACGTTCTAAAAAATCAATTATATTAAGCATAGGGTGTAATAATATATAATACTCCCACCATTTTCATTTATCGGAAAACTTTGGGAATGTGATTTTATTCTCATTTATAAGATATAATTAATATTTTTCTAAGTATTTATTGTAATTTTTTTAAGTTATTTTCTTATTAAGTGGGAGCGATAGTAAATGAGCTAATTTAGTCAAATTCTTGGGTATCATCAGAAAAAATTCTCCCACTTACGTATTTAAAGTATACTCTTTTCTTTCTTTTTCACAAGTTACAAGCAAAATAATCAAGTAAATTATTCTTTTTGTCCTTTCTCATATTGAATTAGTAAGAGATTATATTAAAAATAAATTAAAGATAACAGATATATTAATTTTAGTTAGAGGGTAATTTTGAATACTGGCGATAATTTTTCACAATTTTAATGATACAGACTACTCTTACTCACTATTTTTTAATTATTGAGAAGTAGTTAAAAATATCTTATATTAAGTACTATTTTTTTTGTTTGCCTACCAAAAGAAGTCAGTTTTATTAATTTTCAAAAAAAGGTACAATCACCAATAGACGCACTCACAGAGAAAAAAGAAGTCTCAAAATCTATGATGCAACCTAAAAGCGAAAACACAACAAAACAAAAATAAACCCGCAAAGAAAACAAAACAGCAAGACAGAAAACAAAAATTACAGGACAAGCAACCAGAGAAAACATTGGCCAATACCACAGCGATCCCCAACACCAATCCTTGAAATTGATCTTATTTTGATTTTGATCTTGGAATTTTAAAACCTGTGATTTTAGTTCTTTAAACTTTATTCTAGGGACCAAAATATTATTCGAGAGATTGAAAATCCTTGTACGGACCAAAATAAAATTAAATTTCAGGGATGAAACCTAATGACTTCAAATTTCATAAATTAAATCACAACGAAGTCAAATCTCAAAAGCTAAAGATTTTGTTACTGCATTAGTAGCTGAGATTAATAATTAGTCTACCTTTAATATTGAGAACAATAAAGTTAGACTCCTTTCAATTAAGTTGTCGCGCGCGGGCGCGCACACACAAAGGTTTAAATATTTAAAGTCTAGACCACTTATTTAAATAGTAGAGCTAGTGTCTCTGTTACTCATTCTAACTGGTATTTAATACATTTTTTTTATTTGAAAATAAATCTTCTTAATTTTATTTTTTAATATTATCATTCATAACTATATATATGTTAAAATATGAGACATGCTCGAAGCTAGATATACATACTAATGAAGACCATCTAGTTTGCAATAATATCTTGGTTTTTTTTTTTTAAACCTTCATGTATAATATCTTGGTTTCAAACTCAATCAGTGAAGTCTTTTTTAATATTATCATAATTAAACGCTGACATGCTTGATCCAATTACAGAATGAAACATTTCTCTTTTTTCTTGTTTCTGGCCAAGCAGAATAAAACATTTTGGGCACTGGTAAATTTGAT